CTGGATGACAAATGGATGGATGAATGATTGGATGGATGGATGACAGATGGATGATTGGATGGATGAATGATTGGATGGATGATGGAAGGATGGATGGATGGATGACAGATGGATGATGGATGACAGATGGATGATGGATGGATGACAGATGGATGATTGGATGGATGACAGATGGATGATGGATGACGTTGTCCTCTGAGGAGCATCTTGGCCTCCTGAGGCTGCGTCCTCTGCCTTGTCTCGGTCCATCCAGGGGCGTCTGGGTGTGTTTGTATGTGTGTGTGTTGGGGGGTTTGGGGGATTGGAGTCTGAGGGGGTCTGCATTTGCCTGTTTTCCATCTTCCTGTCCATTCAGAACAGGTCTGTCTGGAGCCCCCAGGCTTGGCTCTCCCTGATTCCTGGCTGGTTCCTAAAAACGGGTTTTGTGCGTCTTGGTGAAGCTGCTGCTCAGACCGAGGCTTTCAGCAGAGACGCTTCTCCTTCCCTTAGTTTGGGAACCGGCTGTAACGGCTCTAACGCCTCTATCGGCTCTAACGGCTCCATCGGCCAATAATCATATATTTGAGCCTTACTGCCTCAGTTTGTTGTCCTTTTTTTTTCCTTGATTAATTATTTAATCAACCGCATTACATTAACCTTGTTCGTTGGTAATAAGTGGGTGGCGCTCCGTGTTGAAGCTTCTTGGTGCCTTGTCAGGGACAGAAATCCGCTCATCTGAATGGCTCAACGCTGCCTTTTGGGGATTTCAGGCGTGTGGAGGCTGAAACGTCTCAGACGGAGGACCGCCTTTTAAAGTCCTTTTAAAGTCTTCTAAAGGCTTTTTTTATGTATTTAAAGGCTTTTAGATTCTTTTAAACCTTTTTAGAGTTATTAAAAGCTTGGGTGTCTCTTAGAGGCTTTTAGAATCTTTTAAACCTTTTTAGAGTTATTAAAAGCTTGGGTGTCTCTTAGAGGCTTTTAGAATCTTTTAAAGCTTTTTAGTCATTTAAAGGCTTTTTGAGTCTTTTAAAAGCTTTTAGTGTAATGTTCTGTTATGCGGACCCAAAAACACCCTGAGACAGGACGGTCAGTTAACAGGTTTATTCGAACCAGGAATCTCCTGTAGGCGTGGTCAGGCAGGCGAGGTCGGCAACGTGTGGTCAGAGTCCAGCAACTAATCACAGGGTAATCCAAAGCGTGGTCCAGAAACGAGTGAGGGTCAAAGCCAGGGGAGCAGTCCAGAGGGGCAGACGGGAGCGCGGAGTCGGACAGGCTGGGTCGGGGGCACGGGCAGGCAGGCAGGGCACTGAGTCAGACCAGGCAGATCTCAGGCTGGCAGACGAAGCAGACAGGGGACAGGCAGGCTCGGAAAAACAGGGTCAGTCAGGACGTATCAGGCAGGCAGGCAGAATAGGTAACGCTGGAAGTACTCACACGGTTGTTAGAGACGTTCTGGCCCAGGTGAGTGAGTGAGCAGAGTATTTGTACTGACCGGAACAGGTGCGACCAATGTCGCTAATTGCAGAGGAGTGAGTGAGAGCCGGTGGGCGGAGCCAGAACGTCACATTTAGAGTCTTTTGAAGGCTTTTATAGTAAGTTACAGGCTTTTTGGAGTCTTTTAAAGTCGTATAGAGTCTTTTTAAAGCTGGTCTGTCTGAGTTTCAGGCCTCCTCATCACTGACTTTCGGACTTTTTTTTCCTCGTTCTCTACTTTGACTGATTTTGTTGTTAATGTAACGCAATCTTTCACGTTCAACCTGCTGAATTTGGACCCAAATGGCTCCATTATAAATGTGCTGATTCTCTGATTGAAAACCAACCAGCCAGATCATTTCATCGTCATCCTCAACATGGAAACTCGTCTGAACAGAATGAACTAGAATACGACACAAACAAATCAGTGAGGCTGATTTGATTGGCCGAAAACTCCCACATAATTTGTGTATTCTGCACAAAGATGTGCCCATTTTCTGCTCTGTGAAGAGGGATTCAAAAAGGATTTAATGTAGTTATTTTCGATATGGAACCAAACTTGGTTTGGTCAAATAGTAAAAAGAAAAACAACTTAAAATAATTTTAAAAAGACTTCTGAGGGCATTTTCTGTGGATCTGCTGTTACGAGTGTTTGGTTGCTCATAAGAAATGATTACAAAAAGACCATCAAGACCTCCAGCTTCCTGTTTTATGGCAGAGCTGTTGCACTAAAACCTCATCCTGCAAACTGGCAGAGCAACAAAATCGAAGGTGTTCTAACCTTTTTTTTCTTATTTATTCACATAAATCAAAAATAAGACAATTGGATGGAAGAAATAATGGAATAATTTAATGTCTGTTCTGATGTTTCATGGCCATGAAGCATAACCTATAACTGCTCCTGGAGCTGAGCTGATGGCAGGGAAAGCTGCTTTCTGGCCCTGAATGAAGGAAGCTCCGGTCTGGAGGCAGTTTTTCCTCACTCCTGAACTCGCTGGGCTTCTGGAGATGGAAGTCTCTGGATACGTCGCCACGGCAACGTGGACACTGTTGGCAAAGTTTCCCCACAATGCGTTTTATGGTGTGTTTGAAACGGAGAAGCTTTTTATTTAATTTAATAGGTTTTCATTTATTTATTCTGTTTGATTATATGTTTTTATTGGGTCTTATGTATTTATATTTTTGATATAATTTTGTATTTATATTCATTTTATTTTATGAGTTTTTATTTGTTTATTTATTTAATCTAGAAATGAATTTAATTGTATTTCCCCCTTTTTTCCACTATCATTGTTTTATTGGAGGAATGAATGAATGAATGGAGAGATGGATGGGTGGATAAATGACTGGAGGGATGGATGAATGGATGGATTAATGAATGGATGGATGAATTGATTAATGAATAGATTAATTGATGGATTAATGAATAGATTAATTGATGGATTAATGGATTAATGGATGGATGGATAGACGGATGAATGGATGTATGGATGGATTAATGGATGGATTGATGAATAGAAGGATGATGGATGGATGGATGGATGGATGGATGGATGGATGGATGGATGGATGGATGGATGGATGGATGGATGGATGGATGGATGGATTAATGGATGGATGGATGGATGGATGGATGGATGAATGGATGAATGGATGGATGATGGATGGATGGA